GGTGGGGAGGGGTAGCAGCCAGCCTTTCACAGAGGTATCAGTGATTGTGTTGCCTCTGGAGACCAAAGAGCTCAAGAAATCATTCTGCCTCCCTGACCTTATTAAGGCTGATCCCATCCCAAGCACTGAACACCAACATGGAATTTTAAGTTTTATTACACACACACACACACACACACACTAGTGAATTGTCCATCGAGAATGATGGGGGAGGGACAGGGACGGGGGAGAATGCTAACCCTAATCCTACCCCCAACCCCTACTGCTGCTGCCACCCAGGAGCAGGACGGATGGGAAGCTTGCCCTGCCATCCCCTCTGTCCCCCTCCACCAGCACCCTGCACCACCATCACCTTCAAGGAGCAGTAACCAATCAGAGTGCTCCAAGAGCATTACAGACAGACAGATGGACTAAGCTCCTTATTGTATTCAAATTTTAATTTTGAAAAACATCTTTTCAGTGTTAACTACTCTCTGTTTTTCCTTTGAACCCTCAGAGCAAAACATTTGAAATCCTAGGACTGCTAGGCTTATTCCCTACTTGAAATGAGTTTTCTTTTCCTCTTGCATAATTCTTGGACCATCACAGCCACAACATCATTCTAACACTATCTTTTCCTCTTTAAATAGCAGCTAACTATTAATCATACTTGCTCCTGTTGTTTCCACCAATGGGAAATTTTATTCAGAACAAGGTGGAAATAATGAAGAGTTTTGTGCTAAGAATATGGACTATAAAAGCATCTATACATGGTGGCAAGCAAGAAAGTAATGGGAAGCAGAATAACAGCAGTAGGAAAAGAGCAATGGTCTTAAGGCAAACCATTGAATTAATACACCAAAAGATTTGGCTCTTACTGTATTAAACTGAAATCAATCTACTGTACATTTAATGACATTTAATGCAATCTCTGTGTGTTCTTGATAATTATTGTTTACTCTGTTGTGTACATTAACCACTTACGTGATGATTTAGGCTCAGCTTTTTTGCCTAAAAAATAAATTTGAAAAATCAATTTTCAGTAAAAGAGAAATTCTGTTGTCATCACAAGTTAGGAATGAAATATTTTTTAAATGTGGCTATATGTTGCAAAATGTAGCAAAAAGTAAAAAAGACCCCCCCCATCGCAGTTCTTTTCCAGTTATGAATTTCAACTTAGAAAATGTAATTCACAGCAAGTATCATAGTTTAGAAACTTAATTTATTGATGTAATATAATTACTTGTGTAATCATAAGATAATGCTTAGTATTTATAGAACTTCTATTAATAACAATTAAAATTAGTGCAATAGTATGTCACATGTGGAAATAATGAAACATCATTTAAACCATCATTTTAAAATCTTGAAATTAATAAAATAATTGCTTTATTTTATCCAGATGTCTTAAACTATTTGAAACACTAAAGAATTCAACCTAAATTCAAATGCTTTATGTTTTGATTACGCAGAAATCCTTACATTTCATTGTAACAGTCAAAATGATTTCATGTTGAGTCTGTTTTACTTGCATCTACACAGGTTATCAAACCTAAACAATGTGACTTGGATCAGTTTGGCATTAATCTGTATCCAACTTACTTATTTGGGTGCTTCAAAAGAACTGTAGTTAAGATGCCTCATTTCCCCATCTTTATTTATGGGCCATCATCCACAGTTATATGCTCCCATGACATACGGAGGTTTCTCCCATAAACTAAAACATCACATTACATTCTAAGAGTCCCATAACTATGGGAGAGAGAGTACAACTGGAGATATCACTCCATGGAAATATTTTGGAGCAATGAGTTTTCACAGCAAGTCAGCAGGACACAGGCTAATGTCAGGCTGAGCTGAAATGACCTTTGCAACATTTCTGGATCAAAAGTTTTGTAAACTTTCCCTTCCATAAAAAATAATCATAGTTTGACTTAAACATGCCACAATTTCCCATGGGACAGATATTCTCAATTTTATTCCATTTTTATAACGGGAATGGAAGGATGTTAACAGTTAAACATCAGTAGTTTGGTCAGATTTACCAAAAAAAGAGATAATATAACCAAAATATCAAAATAATATATATCATGGAGAGGCGCAAGAATAAGTTAAGAGATTAAGGGCTAGCTTCTGCTGTTTTTATTCACATCACTTGCAGAGTAAGGCACTATTTACCCACAATCACTTTACTACCTAGTCACATTAATGGGGTTGTTTGTGGACTAAAGTACTGGTCTCTCGGCATGTCTACACATGCAATTAATTCACATTAATAAACTCTGACACATATCACGTTAAAGTTTATTATTTCTGGGCATTCCACTTGAACGTGCACCCAGGAGTGCAGCATGTTTAGTGGGTCTGGAGCAGCCCCACCTGGCAGGGAGCCCAGGGGGTCAGCCTGCAAGTCTGGGGCTATTCTGACCCAGCTCAACATGCTGTGGAGGGGCTGACAGGGCACAAGAATACTCCAGTGCCAAGCTAGCCAGCAGGCAGCCCTCGTATTGAAGTGCCCTCATGCCCCAGCTGGCCGGGGCCGAGTCTAAATGTATGTTGCTGTGCATGAAAAATCTCTGCAGCAGTTTAATACTTGTATTTACAAGTACTAACCTGCTGTGGAGTTATTAGTTTCCTGCAGCCTAATAGGGCCACGTGTAGACACCAAGATGTTTACTGCAGAGCTAGTTAGGCAACTCCACAGTAAACATCTTGTGTAGACACACCACCTGTGAGTAAAGAGAATCTGGCTCCAAAATAAATTACATATCTAACATTATTATATGCTAGATAACATGTATAACTGACAAGTTCAGAGTATGTAGAAATGAAAGCCCAATTTTGGACCAGGTTCAGTTAGGTAGGACTTTGACTAAGTAATATGGGAACCACGCTATGACTGAATTTGATTAACTGAGTCCCTGTTCCCCCAAGCACTACTGGGAGTTACAAGGAATAACAGCCATAAGCTGACTGACAGTAGATTCAGGCTGGACATCGGGAGGCACTACTTCACAGTCAGGGCGGCTAGGAGCTGGAACCAACTTCCAAGGGAGCTGGTGCTTGCCCCTACCCTGGGGGTCTTCAAAAGAAGGCTAGACAATCACCTAGCCTGGGTCATTTGACCTCAGCATCCTTTCCTGCCCATGGCAAGGGGTTGGATTTGATGATCTGCTTAGGTCCCTTCCGACCCTAGCAACTATGACTCTAGTTTTATCCCTAGCTAAAATGGCTTCACATTTTTTGTGTTGTTCTCAATTACACTTAGTAACCAGCCTTGGTAGTTTCATCACTTAGTATTTTTACATTCATTTCAAGATTTGTTTGACACTTGCCTGCTTTTTTGAATGCCAGAAGGGTATTAATTATATATGGCATATTTTTTAAATTACCTACAGATATGGGTTTGGAAGAGAAATCCTTCAGTTTATTGAACCATAAATTCGTAAGGCTAAAAGCAGAATGAGCTTTATGATTATAATATGTCAAATTTTCCATCTAGATGACAGTAATTTACTATTCAGACAGCAAATACATTTGTGTCTGAGAGCACGGTGTAAGAAAAGAATGTTAGGAAGGAAGCAGAAGTTATGCTAGAACCACTTATTTTATCAAGGGACAACAAAATAATAATTAGGATATGCTGCAGCTGGAGAAATTATTTTTGGTTGCATAGTTACATGTACATTATAAGCCAAAAAAAGATACCTCCCATTAGAATAACTAGTGGCCTGAATCAATTCTGATTAAAACCAACAAAAAATGTTGATGTAACAAGATCTAGACTGGGCATTAGATTAACATAGCTGGAACATTAATCTGTAGCTATATTACAAGTAAAGGGGCAAAAAAAACCCAGAGCCCACCAAAATATCTTTATAGTACCCATCTGTAGAACTTGTCTTTAGGAATCTGCAATTCATAGCTCAACATAGTAAAAAAAAGCGAAAAATCCTAATACTCTAATCAATGGTAGGGTGTAGCATTCTACAATTAAAAAATCTCATGGATTTCAGTGGGGCTACTCAATGGAAAAAAGTATTGTACAGCATAGGGGTAGATCCAGGATTTCCCAAAGGTGGGTGGAGCAGTAGCAATAGGGGTGGCTGCACCCCTTGCTCCCAGCCTTTTCCTTCCCCCACCAAAGGGAGAAGACTGCCCTCTGGAGCCTTCAGGGACTTTAAGTCCCTAAAGCAGGTGAATTCTGAATTTTGTACCATTCTTATAATAGGAATGGGAGGATGCTAACAGTTAAATGTCAATACCTTGGTCAGATTTATCAAAAATATAAGACAAGGCAAGTAAGGTTCTTTGAGTAGATGTGATATATTTTATTAGACAAACTGAGTAGTTGAAAACAAGTTCTTAGCAAGCTTCTGGGTGCAGTCACCCTTCTTGAGGCACAGGGAGTCTCTGCTGTTGTGGGTCTCAGAACAGAAGAGACTCCCTATGCCTGAAGAAGGGTGACTGCACCCGAAAGCTTGCTAAGACATTTTCCCCAACTACTCAGTTGGTCTAATAAAAGATATCTCACATCTACTCAAAGAACCTTGCCTGCCTATGTCCTCTGACCAACATGGCTACAACCAAAAACCCAGCATATAAGACAAGGAGCTTTAGACACCAAAAGCTAAGACACCAAAACAATATATATATTTACCAAACTATAATAGAACCAAAATACCAAATAATTTGAATCACAGAAGAAGCTAAAATGGTTAAAGCAAAAATTAAGAGATTAGGGGCCATTAAAAGATTACAACTAAGACTGGGGCTGGGCTTGTCTGGGGACAGGGACAGGGGCAACAACAGTAGTTCCTCCCTCCCTGCCCCAGCCCCCAGAAGCAGTGCAGCTTTCCCCATCCCCAGCTGAGCCCAGCCCATGTTACAGTACGGAAAGCAAAAGCAGCAGGCAGGGGAGGGGAGTGGAAGTGGAGGAGAGGGGAAATTTCACCTCCTTTAGGGTCTAAGAAAACAACCCTGGAGGCTCCTGTGATGCAGTCCAATCCAAAAAGGGGATATGATCATGTCACTGTACCTGCTCTGGATCCATCCCTGGAGAAGCATCCATAAGTGGTTAAACAGATGCTCTCCTTACAATGTGACAGAAACTTTAAATGCAAAGATGAAGCCGTACCTTCGGCAGCAGGATGAGGGACCGCTCTATCTTCTTTTATTGTTTTGGCTTCTGAAAACAAGGTAAATGAAATGGGTAAGACAGAATGTAAAAATACCAACTGAAGATACCCCTTCCAAAATCAAAAGTGTCCAGGAAGAATCTCAAAACAAGGTAGCAAAGGTAAAAAGGCACGTAGAGTTCAGATTTCATTTCTTTTCTAACACCATCATAAAGTCCTTTAAGCATGTATTGAAAAACCATCCCTCTGCAGAAAAAGTGATTAAAAAAGAACCCAACACATGTGGTAAAATACGTCCTAGCCCAAGGACTAATAAAAGTGTCTCTCATAAATCAGTGCTCTCTGTTTTAAAAATTTCCAGCAGCCATATTGAAGATAGCAATGAGTTAAAATGTACTACATTGATTCCACTTTAGTCTTTAATGCAGTTTTCATTTAAGGCTAAATGGAACAGTTTTATCCTTGTTGATACAAGGTGCTGCAGATGATGGAATAACCATACTATCAACAAACTAGCAGAGAAAAACAGATTAATTGTATTTGGTCAATTCAGCATATCTAGGAGGAAAATAGATTTGGGGGGAAAAAAGCTGTAGAATGGAATTAATCAGGATTTATCATCCTGTCCAAAACAGATTATCCTCCTTTGTAAAGTTATTGCCATTGTATAAACCAAGGGAGGCAACAAGTTGCACCATTTCCCCCATGTTTTCAAGATCAGTTTTCCTGATCCATCACAATCTATTTGTGCTCCTTTTGTGTCCTGCAGGTCTTAGAAAATAGTGGTTGCAGACAGCCTGACTCTCACAGCATGTGTCTACATGAGACACTTTACTGCATAGTACTACAGTTTACTGTGCAATAAGCGTGTGCATCTATTTATGCACACACCTTGCTAACTGTGAGTAAATTTGCTACCTGCAATTGAAAGAAGTAAATTTACTTGTGATTACTAACTGCTCAGTAGCACTCATGCAGATGCCTGACTGGGAGCAAATCTGCTCTGGGTCAGCCAGCCACCACAGGGGTGGGAGATGGCTTCCCACCCCTGGGAACTACCTGCTGCTAGGGCAGGCTCCGCCCCTGGAGCCCAGGTAGGGACTATGTCCTCCTGTCCCAGCAGCAGAGACCTGCAAGACCCCTGCTCTGAGATCATGATTGGGGAGCAGGGGCTGGGAGATCCTTATCTCCCAGTGCCAGCTCCATGGTTGCAGGGACGGTGCTGGGAGATCCTTATCTCCCAGCCTGAGTTTTATGGTCACAGGGAATCCCCGCTCAGCTAGCTGCCCCACTGGCAGATCAGGGCAGGGAGCTGGGACCTGTCCCACCCCTGCAGCTCTTTCCAAGTCTCCTGTCCTTGACTGGGGAACCCGGGCCAGAAGTGCCCCGCTGCTGGGGCAGGGAGATGTTGTCCCTGCCCTGGCAGCAGGTAGCCCCCCTAGGGGAAGGGAGCACTGTCCCACTCCCAGGCTGTCTCCTGGCCCGGTGCTCCCTGCCAGCCCCTGGGCTAGTACCCAGGGAGAGCCTAGCTCTCCCTCTGGTGGCAGCAGGGGCCCATTGCAGAGCCCCAGGAAGCAGGAGCAGTTTGCTGCCATTAGAACAAATCTGCTCCTGTTTTTCTGCACATGTGAACACCTGCCTGGGAGCGTTCACTCATGAATAGTTTACTTACAAGTAAACTGCTCCCAGGTCTAATGTACATATAGACACACCAACTGTCTCCAAATCTATATATATACCAATACCTATACATTATGGGGGTACTGTCTCACCTGATATGTGAGGGTGTGAGGCATGAAAATACTGCTTTCCCTAAAACAGGGGTAGCAAAGATATGACCCATGGTGCTCCCCTGGTCTCAGACCAGCTCTGCACACCACATGCAGCATGCTTCAGCCATGGCCCCAAGCACTGCAAGCATTGTATAAAGCCAGTCTGGCACATACTACATGCTGTGCCTGCACCAGACTGCTCCTAAGTACTGAATCCAGGGCCAGTCTGATTTGGGTGCTGCATGTGGTGCATGCCATGGATCCACCTCACACACTGCATTCAATGCATGGGTCCGGAGCCAATGCATGATGCATGCAGCACGCAGGGCTGGAGCTAGTTCCCATGCTAGATGCTAGCTCCAGCACACAGGTCCAGTTTGTGGGTCTGATGTGACTCGTAGATAGGCCCTACTCCCCTCGTCTGGGCTATGAAGCTGAATGAGTTTGATACCCATGCCCTTAGATAACAGAACTGAATACAGGCTCTCAAGTCCCAGCTAACACCATTCCTCTCATTTCCTGTCTTTTGTGAGACATACCACTACAAAGCTCCAAAGCTCATTGTTTCAGTATCACTCTTCTGACAAGAATGAGGTAAATCTCTTTGAATGCCATGAAGAATTGGGTTACCATTATAATTAGCCACTGCTGTCAGGCCCAACAGGGGCTTAATTTATAATAAATAGATTCTTATACTGTAGTTCTTCATCACAAAACTGTGGGTTAGTACTCAAAGGAAGACTATTATTTTCTCTACCTCATTTCTAGTGTGGAGGAGCAGAAGAACCAGCTCATAAACATTGGATTTAATGTTTGATTTTTATGTCTGTATCTATTTATTTTGAGCTAAGTATCCTACAAATTTATGACTGGGAAATGAAGTGACCCTATGTTTGTTTTGTTTTTAAAGATGTGCTTCCAAATTTCAACCCAGGAGCACTTTGTATCATGGGAAAACAAAAAGTATTTTAGAGATCAGAGAAATCAGAAAAAAGAAACTTTTTTTTTTACTCCTGGGGTTCTAATAATAATAGGGGAAGAGGAGTGACTTAGGTCTGGGAAACTTTGGTATTTTTTTTATTAAAGGCTTCACTCTATGTCAAAGCTCAGCTGAGTATCTAATTGGAAACAGCAATACCAATTCAAACCTTTCTCCTTTTCTTACATGAAATTTGTTATCTGAACAATGTAAGTGCTTAGGAACCATAGATCTTGTTGGAACAGAGTGATTTCACACAAAGGTATTAAAAGTTAATGGCCTTTAAGCGCTATAAGTCTCTAACTCCTGGGGGAGACAAATACTGCATAAATGGAATCAGAGAGATTGCAATCACAGCCAAGGGCAGATTAGGCATGTGCAAAATCCTGAACCCAAATTCCATGGAAATAGTTTGGACCTGGATCTAGACTTAACTAGTCAGACCTTTCTCTCTTATTGACTGATGTCATTTAAGTATAGAAAAACCATAGTGCCCATGAGTTCAACTTGCAGTTTAACTAATGGAAAACAGAAGATTTGAAAATATGGAGAATACATCATATAGAAAATTAAAATACAAATAATTTTAGAGATATGACTACAAAGTACACCAAGCACTGACAACACTTGACAGGATTTTTCCCTGCTGCCAGCCAAATTAAAGTTGGTTAAACCTAGGGTTAAGGACTATCCCATGGAACCAGAGCATCTTTACCTTCATTTTTGGTGTAATTCCACTGACTTTTTTTTTTTTGCTTTCTGTATAAACTTGGAAAAAGCACATTTCTAAAAATTAAATTCTTCATCATTAAAATAATGAGATATTTTTAAAGTTGCATACCCAAGAATCATTCATTTTAGAATTATATTTAAAACATCAAGGCTTCCTGCAAGTATTTAATGTGTAACATTTATAGATACAAGAATAAATAGGCTACCCTGTGTTGGTATTTTTTTGGCCAACTACTCATGTTACAGTGGTACTGAGGTGTTTAAATATATTGTGCTGATTGACAGTTGAAAGTGCTGCTAGCATTATTCCAATATAAATCTATCGCACCTAGCACACTATGACAACCCAGGCCATCAATTATATAAAACCTTTTTTTAGAAATCACAGCTGTTGCATAATCATTAAAATGCTTAATTGTCTCCAGTTATTGGTAACAAGGATTGAATAAATTACTATTGTACTATAATACAAGTAAAAGGATTTACATAAATAATAATAATAACAGTAAATGAAATCACTTTCATTAAATATACACTTAAAATTAGTTTACGGGTATCTTACTTAATAAATTACAAGTGTTTTTCTTTCCTTTAAAAGGGCAGCCTCAATTTTCCTTTGAATGGGCCTGCAAAAAAAAAAATGTAACCAAGGACAGGATTCAGGCTAAATGCCCCCTGGGTGCATCTGTATGTGCAATTAGCACGTAGCAATAAACTCTGGCTCAGTTCACATGAGAGTTTATTGCTCCCGGGCACAGCACTTACATGTGTGCCTGGGACTGCAGCTCGTTGATCCAGGTTGGAGCAGCCCCAGCTGGCAGGGAGTCCTGGGGGGCAGTGGCAGGGAGATCAGCCTGCTAGGCTGCTCTGACATGGGTCAATGCGCTATGGAGAGGCTGGCTAGGGTACAACAATGTTGCAGTGCAGGGCTAGATGGCAGGCAGCCCCACACTATAGCACCCTTGTGACCCAGACAGCTGGGTCAGCTTCTACACATTCATTTCAACTCATATAACTACTCTGCTATAGGATAGTCTTGTCCTGGAAAGTATTATTATACAGTGGAATTAATTAGTTTACTGCACCCTAATATGAGCACACCTGTAGACAGTGACATTTTACTGTGGAGCTAATTAGTTGGCTCCACAGTAAAGCACACATGTAGATGCACCCACTGAAATTTTGCATACAATTTTTAAAAGGTCCTAAACAAATTAAGAACATAAAACAAGTACCCTGTAAGCAGGTTAGTGAACCTGCTGCCCCTTGCAGGTTTACTCTGCCCCTCCAGCTCTCCAGCAAGCAGAGTCCTTGCTCATATAAGCACATAAATAAACAACTAAAAACCAGTAAATCTTCTCTGGATAGTAGGAGGTGCCCTCTCCCTGGACCTTTTTGGCTTGGAGTTTAACAGGGTTTCAGTCCTACTCCTAGTCATGGACTGCTTCTTTCCTCTAGTTCGAAGATCTCTGCTTTCTCTCTGGGTGTTTTAACTGCCTGCAGGGGCCTCCTTGAGTGGCTGAACACCTGCAGTTTGGCCTCCACCACAGGCTTTCTGCTACCTCTTAATAGGCCAGACCGCTGTGTTACACGCATCTAAATCATTTGGGCAGTATTGGAGTTTAATCCTAGGTGTCTAGATATGAATTTCGGAGCTTAACTTTGGGAACTCCATTTTGAAAACTGGCCTTAGGGCCAGTTTAGTCTTAGATATACCAACATTTAGGCTTTCCAGAGCTCAGGCAGGTGACTAAGTCAGGGAAAGACACTCTCTACCCCCTCTATTGAAGCTGTCCCACTTGGCCAATTAAGAATACATGATTCATAAGGCCAGAAGGAAAGCAAGCAAGAGAAAGTGGCTACAGCACTTTCCTGGGAAGTGGTTATCTTGTGTTCTGATTTCTGTGGTAATAACTATTTATATTCCATCAGCCAATGACTGTTTAATGTAAAATGCATAAAAATCTGTAGGAATAGGGACAAGGACCTAAGCTGCTCCCCAACCAGGTGCTGGTTACAGAAACATTTTCCTGCTTGCTTGCGCTGCTACTTGCATTCTTGGCTGACTGCTGGCTCTGTTCCAGCCAATTCTATAGGCTGGTGGTTGGGGCGGTCTCAGGGGCAGTGAGCGATGCATTCCCTCAGAATGAGATGGGCCTTCTACTTGTTCGGTTCTGTTTGGTATCATTGGCGACACATAGAGGGTGCTTGCAGGTGCACATGAAACCCCTGACTGTGGCGGTGCACCCCCTGCAAAAAGGTGCCACCGACACTGCTGGCAGCTCCTGTGGGCAGTTGCTGCTTGCCATGCCCCCCTCACTGCTGACACCGCCGACGATGTCTGCAGGCGGTCCATGATCATTGCTTGGCACTGCTGATGCTACCAGCAGCGTCTCGCCACCTCCCCTCCCCCTGCTGCCGACAGCACCATGGCCACCTGCAGGAGCTATCCCCCTTGCTCCCACCACGCTCCCACTGCCAACAGTGCCGTCACCTGTGGGAGCTCGCCATGCCCCATCCAGCCTCTGGGGGCATGCAGAGTTCATGTTCATTTTACCATTGGGCAAAAGATGAATTGTGGTAGCAATAACACATTTTGGAGCTGAATTCAATGGTAACAATGCAATGCTTAGATCTTTTGGGGGACTTAAGAGCTTCCTGGCACTCAGCTGAATTGCAACAGGGCTTAGATTGGTGTTGGGTCCACAGACTGGATCAGAAAACTCAATCTTAGAGGCTTCTTGACTTCTGTCGCTTGGGAAGCAGAGGCAATTTGGACCTGTCTTTGAAATTTAGGTGCCTCAGTCATGCACAAGTCCTGACTAGGCATCTGAAGCCAAACTGGGTCAGGCACATGGTCCCAGTTCTGTGATCTACTGGTAGCTGGTCTATCAGCCATTAAGATAATTACCTGGTTTAGCTGGCTTTGCTTCTTTTTTTACTTCAGGTTCTAAAAAAAAGAAAATAGTAATAAAAGATCTTAAAACAAAAATAATCCATTCACTACAATTTATGTTCTATTTTTGCTGCTGCTCAGTTTTTTTATTTTTTATGTCATGTCTTTAGTTTCTGGAAACAGTCTTGCAGTGAGTCAAATGGAATAGCTTATACCAATATATTTTCTATTGTAACAATTACATATATTTACTGCTCGATATATGTGAGGTGCTCAAAGTGCTTTATAGTAATTTATTACATCCATTCTTTCATAAGTCTGTGAAATGGGGTATTTATTTACACTCACATTACAGATAGAAAGTCAGGTAAACTAGTTAAGAACCTCAGTAAAAAAATGCTACAGACCTTTCCATACATGCCTCATTTTCAGTGCATATGTTTATGGACATCAACATTTATGAAACATTTCCATTTCTCTGTCTCAGTATGGTACACTTTTTAAATTTTTAAATACATAGTAAAAGTGTAACTTTTAAATGAAAATTCTTTGCAGGAGTAAAGGAGAGCAAAGGCAGAAATGGTCACGTTTCTTTAACTGAATTGTTCATGTCAATAATCTAGCATTTCCATAAAATGACCTTCTGTAGTAGAGAGGGGCTAATTTTGACTTAGCTAGACTGACAATTTTACTTTTGAGGGAAACTTCCAAGCTCCATCTGGTGGCTGTATTAATACCTGTTACTTATTATTTTAAATACATTTTAAAAGTGAAAGTGAAATGCTGACAATATTTTAAGAAAAATTACTATGCGTTTTATTTTGCATTTATTTAAAATGTATTTTTTTTCTCTTGGGAGCAAGAATAACGTAAGTCTTGGTAGTAGGTTAGGCAATCCACTTCTTAACTATCATTCTTCAGAACAATATCCTGAGCTATGTCTACAAAGGGTGTCAACCAAATTTGTCCTGCATGTCAGATTCAGACTACAGGACTTCGCATGGCTGGACTACTTATCTCCAGAAGAAGAACATATGATGGCAGCATTAACCCCCCAGGTGTTGGCCCCATTGGCACAATGGCTCTGGCTGCTATGGGTGGTTAACGCTATCACAGTTCACCCTGTCATGAGGTCATGAGCCCCACTGAGGATACAATTCTTTACAGGCATTGTGATCAG